GCCTCCTTTCCCCACCACTCCCCGTGCCTCCCATCGACAGGCTCAGTTCCGGCTACTTTAGTCTGGGCGGGAGAGCGAGAGCGAAGGCACTTGGGAGAAGCCTCGCCCAGCGGCGATAGATTAGTCAGGCCTCAGAAAAATGGCGTCCTCGGAGCAGGCAGAGCAGCCGAGCCAGGTGAGGGGAATGGGACTGCCGTGCCGTGGTCAAGGGGACCCCAGCTGGAGGGGGCGCTCGGCACGCGGCTGGGAGTCGGGTGGGAACCTCCGAAGCTTCCGAAGCCGGGGGCCCTGACCCCTTGCCCCCTCCCAGGCCCCTCCCCTCCCCAGGTCCTCGCCGCCGGACCCCTCCCCCGGTGACCCCTCCTTGACCACATTCCTGAGCCCGGGCTCGGGGTGCCTGCTGGCCCCCACTTCCCGCCTGCCGGCCCTTAGGGTCCCACTTGAGCTTGGCCAGGACCCTTGAGAAGCCCCCAGCTTTGAGCTGCGAGGGCCCCTGCTTGAGGAGAGGATTGAGAGGCTCGGTCGTTCTGGGCTGTCCCCCACGGGGAGGGCCCCGATTCCATCAGGGTTCCCACTCCCCCACAGCCTCAGCCTCCTGGGGTGGCCTCGCTGCCAGCCTTTTCGTCGTTAGTCACCTTTGAGCTTCTCTTGCCAAGTTGGAGGGTCGGAAATGTACCCGGACCCTCTCAGTGCGTTGGTAGGAAGGAGACTCACTCGCTGTAAACAACAGGCGCCACCAAGCTTTCGGCTGAGGGTCCGTCCTTGCTTCCCAGAGTTTGGTTTTCTCGGCCGAGGGCTCTGATCTAGCTTGTCAGCCACAGATTCAGCCAAATCCCACTCCAGTAAGGGGACCTTGAGGACCAGTGCTCATGCCTGTACAGTCTGCTGTCAGGGAGCAGGGGACGATAAGGCCTTTGAAGGGGTTGGTAGTCCACGGCTGAGTGGGCTGGGGTGAGGGTGGGTGTAAGCGGCACCGTGCATGTACTGAGTGTGTGCTGTCATGCTGAGCACAAATTACGTTTATCATCCTGTTTAGTGCCCCTGACAACCGTTACGAAGTACAGGCAATTAACCACCATTTTGCAGAAGTGGACCTAAGAATCTGTAAATGCCCTTCATTTGTGTGTCTGCTTGAGCCTGGATTTAAATCCCGGTGTGTGACTGCACTAGTCAGCCATACATGTTTAACATTAGTCAGGATTAGACAGAGGAAGAAGAAAACGGGTTCAGCCTGGACCTCATCATTCCTCTCTCACCTCCTTGAAACATCCTGGGCTTTTCAACAGCCGACTGGCATTGCACTTCCTTCCTAGGCAGAAGAGCACCACTTAGTGTTTTGTACTATTTTATTCTTCATGATAAGTTGATTACAGGAATTGCACTTAGAGGAGTTGCGTGTTCCCCACACCGGCTTCTCTTAGCAGACTGAGTGATTCAGAAAGGTGTCTGGATTGTAACACGTGGGATTGTAAAAACTAGGACTGATTGTGGCCTTCTCATTGTCAGACGTCCTGGAGTGTGTGGGGTGTCCTGAGAGAAGGGACCCTGCTTTCTTGCCTTCCCCGACTTAACTTTCCTCACAATCTGGGCTTCTCTGAACTGTTATATGTTAGAAATGCCCCCGGGCTGGGATTAAAGGGCCTTTTACGACATCCAATTTGCCAATGCTGTGAGGATGACTACAATAGAAACCTCGCCATTTGGAGCCCAAGGGCTTCTTTGGTTCTGGAAATTGCCCTCTCTGTACCTGTGGAAAGGATCTAAGGTCCTTTCAGAGGGCTTGGCCAGCACCTGTGTGGTTTTCCTCTCTGCTTCTCCTTTGCCCTCCTTTCCAAAGCTGGTAGAGATGGGATTGCATCAGAATACGCTGGCAGCCTGGAGACAAACTTGAACTCTTCATGCCAAATTCTTTCCCTCTCTAACAATAAGCTGCAAATGCACAGTTTTTAAGTGAATCAGCTCTTTTTACCAGTAACGTGCCATTTCATTTTCAAGTCCTAGCAACCTGGTTTTCCATTTCTCTGGTCAAAGCAGAGAGGAATTGAAAGAACCGCTTGGAGAATTAGCCCCAACTTGGTTTGCGTGTGAGGATCGCTGCATCACACCTGTGGGACTGAGCCACTGTTCAGTCTCTCACAGGAAGTTTGTTAGTTGACGATGTGACACCAGTATCTCATTTTAAAAGGTTACGGGTGAATAACCAACCCTTTTCTTCCTTTAACAGGTAGTGTAGAGCAGCCGTTAAAAGTATGGGCTCTGAAGCCATCCCCACTGGCTTAGAATCCTAGCTTCTAGCCCACTATTACCAGCTCTGTGATCTTGGACAAATTACTTAACTCCTCTGAGCTTAGGTCCTCCATCTGTAAAATAGGGATAAAACTAGTGCCTATCTCAGGGGGTTGCCCTGAGGATTAAATGAATTAACTTATTTAGAACAGTGCCTGACCTAGTGTCTTATCTGTTATTATTTTTCCATTCAATAAACTCTGCATTTTCATTCCCAAATGATCTAAACCTTTCCTCAGGCCCTGTTACAGTTTCGTTTGGGGTATGATTTATCATGTTGACCACCAGTCTATTAACGTTCTTTTATTTATTCTGAAGTAATTGCCTCAAAATTTAAAGGAACACCCCAAATGCTGGTGTTTATCCTAGCTGTCCTTTGTGACTTTTAGATTTCGGTGACAGACTTGCCTTTTCTTTTCTTCCTTTTCCTTTTTTTAGGGGAGGTGGTGTGAGCGGGTGCAGAAATATAAAAAAACTCATTCAACTGAGAAATAGAGAAGTGTCCTTAAGAGCTCCTGTCTGGTATCCAAAGACCTGGACTTCCTCCTGGCACTTTTGGTTTCAGGGCGAAGGCGAGAATCCCCTCCTTACTGCCTTTGTCCCAGCCCTCACCTTTCTGGATTTCTGAGAGTCTGGGCTATTTATTCTGGAGCTGTCCCTAAAAGTGCCAGGAGACCTCTATGGAGAGAGACAGGGGAGTTAGGACTGCCAGTGTAGCTGCTCTCAGATTGTCCTCTGACGCCACATTCCTAGCAGGAGTAACGAACAATGTTAAAGAGTCCAGAGAGTGGCTTTCAGGCAGAGCTTGGCACTTCTCTGCCATCTGCCTGAGGGAGGAGTTAACGTTGGAGGAGAGAATGGCGTTAGGCCGCAGGACAGACTTTTTGTTTGCCCTGGAAAAGGCAGGGTGGCAGAGAAGAGGTGACTTATTGATCCCCTCTTGGAGAGCACACTGCTTCCTGGGGCTGACGTACTTGCTTTTTCATGATGGTATAGTCTTTTTAGCCTATCTTCAAGCCAGTCTGTTGGAATTACATGTACTGCTTTCATGCCCTTGTTCTGTTTTCCCCACATTACCCTATTTTGCATGGCTAATCGCTGATGAAAGTCCCTTCCAGTCTGTAAATATTATGGCCCGTAGGAAGAGGAAATGTCCCTGTTTCCACACTTTCCCACCATTGTTACTGTCTTCGGTGAAAAGCAGGGGCCTGGTTCAATCTGATTGTCTAATGGTTGTTGGATATTGGGTATTATGACAGAACCTAGACTTCCAGTCTGCTGAGGGTCACTGGCTGTGGTAATTTCGGGTTGAGAACACAGGAGCCCAGAAGGGAGAAGAGCACAGTGAGGACATTACGGCTGGAAGAGCGGGGCCTTGTACCTGACAGACTTTGGTCTGAACTCTCCAGCACGCTCTAACTTCTGGGCTTGTCACTCCAGCTCTCTGAGCCTCAGTTTTGTTCTCTGTAAAACGGGAGTGATAAGCTACCCTCGAGGGTTGCTCTGAGGGTTGGCGGAAATCGCACATGTACAGAGCGCCTGGTACATAGTAAGTGCTCAGTCAAGGTTAGTTTTCTTCTCCAAGTCTCTGCATGCCATTTTGGAAGGCTGAGAGTCTTGAATGACAGCAGTTGAAACAAGATCTTTTCCCCTGTCAACTTTTTATTTTGAAAAATTGCCAACCTATAGAAAAGTTGAAAGAATAATACAGAGAACTGTAAAACTCCCATAAAAATGTCACCACAGTACAGTTTCCTTTTTGCTGAATTTGCTTATCTCTC